AAAAATAAAAGCTCGTGAAATAAAAATAGTGATGTGGATATTGTATTGCAATTGGAACAAATTTGCATTTTTTTTTTCTCTTACCCAAATCCTTGTAATAAGGTTATATGGATGAAGGATCAACTGAAGTTTTGATATTTATTTGACAGAGTTGACACGGGCTCCGGAAAAATAAAGGTCGGGGACACAGTAAAAGATATTTAAAACATCATATAGTTTTGTAGTATATAGTATCGCCTCAATATGATATATTAAGGATGCAAAGAGGGGAAATAACGTGGCAAAAATAATTTTTTGTTTATTCATATGAAACATATAAAGAGGATTACAATAAATAATAATAACTTAAACGTGCTTAGGATTCATACCTATGAAAGCCTACATAAAATTGTTTCATCGAAAATTACAATATCCGGCCTGCTGGTAGATGTTATGAATGTGGCTGGAATTGAAGGGGAAGGACCGGAATTGGAGAAGAGGCGTGGAATTGTAGAAAGTAAAATGGGGATCTTGGCAAAGACGATGAAGGCTAGGGATTTGAAGATGGAGATTAATTTGTTTGGCGAGATTAATGATATGGCAAATGCAATGGACATTTGGGCTTATTGGGCCTAGTTAGTTAATTATTTAAGCAAATTAGTAATTGAGTAGATTTAATTTATGAGTGGGAAAGAGATGAATGTAAATGGCCCATAGTATGGCCCAATGTATTAACAAGCCCATGAATTATTCTGCTTAAATGAAAGATGCCTCATTATGAGGTAACAAGTTTGACAGTTACAAATCCTTTTCTCTCTCCTAAATTCTCTCTCTCCTCATCTCACTCTCTCTCACTTTCTTATTTTTCACTCTAAAATTATAGAAATTGATCTCCAAAATTATCCAAAAACGGCATAACGCCTGCAACCTTAACAATTGGTAATCAGAGCNACTGCAAACAGAGACATTAAAAGAGAAGGTTGAACTTAAATTGGAAGAATAAATGGCAAGTATGAATACAAAAGTAAGGGATCATCTCAACAACATAACTAGCACCATGAATAGCAAGTATGAACACCTTGCTAATGTCCTCGCAGCCATTCAACTACAACTGCTAAACCCTGAGAAGAGACCATATGAGGAAGAATTCATACTGGGTGATAGATTTCATCAATTTGGAGGAGAGGGCAGCCACTCCAAATTTCAGCAATCCAGCAGAACTAGGTTTCTAGAAAATCCATCTCCTAACATAATCAGCCCCCTACCTAAAGTGGATTTTTTAAGATTTGATGACCGTAATCCTAGGGATTGGATCCTAAAATGTAATGGGTATATCAAGCTGATACCTAACAGGCCAACCTACATACCACACCTAGTTGCTAAGAAGGTAGAAAGTAATAGCACAGTCCAGAACAAAACCCCCACAACAACCTAACCCAGAATCCATACTAAGTTGCTCACAGCTAGTGATATGGCAGCAAGAAGAGAAAAAAGACCGTGTTATAACTGTGATGAGAAATTTACCTTTGGACATATGTGCAAACAGAGGGTTAATTTCATGATCATGACTGAGGATGAAAGCTGACCTATATGCAGACTCAAGATGAAGTAGATGAGGAATTAACTGAACCAATCAAGATGGAAGAAATACATATGTCCCTTAATACCATCACATGAGAAAGTGGGTTAACTACAATGAGGTTGTGTGAGAAAAAGAAGGAACATCAATTGCATGTGTTGGTTGATTCAGGCAACACATTAAGCTTTATAAGGGAGAAGACAACTAGAGAACTAGGTTGTGACTTGGCACCTGCCAAGCCATTGTTGGTTAAGGTGACAAATGGGCAGAGAATGGTAAGTTCACAAGTGGTGGATAAGTTTGAGTGGGACACGCAGAATGGTAAGACATTGTTGGTGTATGTCCATTCACAAAATAAAATACGAGAAAACTTGAATAATACACTCAACCCAAATACTTAAATATGCAAATTAACTCACAAAATAATACAAGATTTCTCACGTATCAAGACTCCCTCTCCTTTTGTATGATCACCTATACAACTACTCTTCCGACCACAAATTCCTTATGGATTTTCTAACTTGAATCTCTCAAGTTAATCTAAGTGATCCTCCCGAACAATTAGTTCAACAGAACAAAATAATCGCTCTATATGATCAAGAACACCCTCTCGATTCACCACTCAATAAAATAAAAACAAATTTATAAAATGAGAATTAGACAAACAAGAATCACTCGCAGCACTCGTGTTTTCTTCACAACAATCAAAGATAACTATACGCAGTCAACTTCTTCGTCCGCGTCCCAATGCTTTCATATCATGCTCACATATGGTATTTCCAAACTGCCTTTGCTGTCAAGCCACACTCCACAAGGTATGTTCTTGATTGATTCTACCGCCATCAGTTATGGAATGTTTTACTATGCGGCTGACTCCATTCACAAGGTAAGTGCATCTGGTACATATTTCCTTAATCCTGCACAAATAAAATTTATATTAGTTAATTTCAAATAACTAATATTAAGGAACTAATTAAGATAATGTAAAACACACTTCCCTTAAACATTCCTTCCTGCAGACTTGTACGATGAAGGTTCTTCGCCTCATTTGACGTTTATCGATTGAATACCAAAACTCAAGTAACTACATCGTGGTTGATAATTTATTATCCTTTTGGAATTATGTGTTTTATTTTGAAAGATGAAATTAAGTTTGTCTAGTCTTATTTAGATTAATCACCTAGTTTAAAATTTTCATCTCTATAGCTAGAATTAAACATTCAATCCATAATTGTTGTTGTGTTCAATTCGTAAGTAGCAACCAAAAGCTGTTAACTGTCGGGGATCACATGGCCTAATTAAGCGAACCGCGCGGTTGTGTTTACTACTTAGACTAGCATATTTTTCTAGATCTTAAAGCGACTGTTACATTAAATCTAGAGAGCGTGTTCTAGACTGTCCCATAAGTCAGGTTTAATCAAAGAGCGTCTCCCGATTAAATGAAAAGTAAGGAAAAATTCGAGTAGCAGAGTGTGTTGCTATTTAGGGCTAGTAAATCCATAAGATAAAGAAGTTTGATACAAGAATAGATTAGATGAGTCAGTACCGTGGACTAGAAGCTTCCTTATTGATTTAATCAATCATTTTTTATTTACTTTACTTAATTTTATTTAATTTTCCGTAATTCTTAGTAGTTAATAAATTTTTTCCAAATTCTCTCTGCCCTTTATTATTAGTTTTGTAATTTTCAATTAAAGAAAAATAATTGCAATTCAATTCCACACTTCCTGCGGGTTTGACCCTGACCACTACTGCTAGTCGGTAGAGGTTAATTAAGAGAAATATAAATTTATAATTTGTCGCGTTGCGACGCTCGGACAATTATAAAGATGGTTTTGTTCTTCCCGTGCACCTTTCCTCCAAGCTCCAGTTGGCACACGTCTTCACAAGCAAGGCTCGTCTTCTTTTGTCTAAGTTGAGCATGTTCTTCAGGGAGGCTGTTGGAATGGACGATTCATCATCATCATTATTTTTCATTCACATGTTTCATTTTATATTTGTGTTATTTTAGTTGCAGTGTTGTTGTTTCTTTTCTTTATTTTTCACCCTCGCTTCTTTTATTCTAAATCGAGACTTTGTTAAGTAATGCGACATCGTTTTATCCATAGTTGTAGACTATAGAGAGCGACGTCGTTTTAGGGAGTTTTAGCATGAGCCTTGTATATAAAGGCTCGTCCTTTATGCATGTAATAGTACAGAGCCCGTGCGATGCACGGGGTGCACAATTTTAAGACTATTTATGCAGACTTATAATTATAAACATGAATAAAGAAAAATGTATGGATATATATAGTACGTGACCCGTGCGAAGCACGAGATATATTTATTTGAAAAATATTATATTATAAGATGTAATATTCAATAAAAGTTTATAATACGCAAGAAAATTGTACAATGTTCAATAAAAGTTTTATAATATTCAAGTGGAGTCTTAAAGTCTCTTGTACATTAAGACTACTGACAAAATAATATTTTAATCATTGAGTTTCATTTCCTTGTAGCCAAATTGTGAATGTGAAATAAGGAGTACAACAAATCGATATATAGATGACTTGCTTTTTTCATTGTAGTTTTTTTTCTTTTTTTTTTTATAATGAATTTAAAGATATTCTAAAATATAGCAAAAATTAATTTTTTTTATTACAATTAGGAATTTTAATAAATATAAACTCTCAATCTATGATGTTAATCAACGTTTAAGTCTAAAAAATTAGGAATTTTTACCTCTTTTAATCAACGTTTAAGTCTAAAAAAAATAGAGTTATTATAAGATTTTTTTCTACATCTTTTAAAACATTAAATATGAGCATGTTAGGGCTAGCTTGTAAAATAATTAATATATTATCTCATTAAAACATTTATACTAATAAAAATTTAATTTTAGCATATAAATTTATCCCTTGATATAAGAGAAAGTAACAGTTTTACTTATTGTTGTTCACCATATAATATTTATTTATTATTTTAATATATAATAAAAAAGAAATATTGTTAAATAGTGTAGTAGAATTGTTATAAAATTATATGATTTTTGTTTTACAATATGGATTTAATATTTTTTATGATTTGATAATATAAACAAATCCATACTTAACTTTGACAAATAAAACAAATAAATACTTTAGTAAGTATTTAATGTATATAGTAAATAGGAATATATTTGGTATAATCAAATACCAAATATAATCAAATAAGTCAAAGTGTACATTTTTGTTTGGTATTTGACTTTTTTTTTATTATTAAAATCTTTTTATTGTACTTACCTTTTTAAAATAAAATAAATAAATAAATCAATTAAATAAATAAAATATTATAATACCAAAATAGTAATGACATTTAATGCAGTTGACTTTTCTGGATAGTAAATGTAGTAAATAGAACTAGTAATAACCCGTGCGATGCACAGGATGGTATATTTCTATACATTTTTAAATAATAAATATAAAAACTTGTTATATTTGTAACAAAAGTAAACACGTTGGACGCAAACTATAATTCATAAATTATTTAAAACTTCTTTGCACACAACGTTTTTTGTTTGATTTGGCGTTGAGTCATCGTCACCACAAACTAAAATTTTCAAACCACTTCGGTTGGTGACACGGGATACAACAACGTATAACTGTCCATGGCTGAAGACATGCTTCTTAAGAAATAAACCAACATGCGATAACGATTGTCCCTGGCTCTTGTTGATAGTCATGCGTACGATACCATAATAGGAAATTGATGCCTCTGGAACTTGAAAGGAATTCAAACATCGGAAGAAGTAATAGCCATTTTAGGAAGCAACACCTTCTCGCCTGCGTGATCCCCAGTTAGTATCTTACACTCGATAACATGAGTGGAGAGTTTTGTGACAACCAACCGCGTCCCATTGCATAGGCACATAGAATAATCCATGTTACGCAACAACATGACGGGAGTTCCAATCTTCAAATGCAATTGATGATTTGGAATTCCAGAACATTTGATACTATTTAAGAATTCAGACGTGTGGATATCAGACAGAAAATCGTCATTAAAGTCGGACTTGCAAGTATTATCAGAACTTAAGTACATCTGACCGTCAGATAAATTCAACGATGTCATGTACTCATTGATAGACTCAACAACATCTAGCGTAGGGGCTAATATTGCCTTGTCCTTTAAATAACTGGGATCATCGGTTGCCTGCTTAAACATTGGATACGTGATCTCTACAATTTGGGCAATCGGATCATCAGAGGGCCCAAGCATTATATCCTCAGGTATGTCTATCATTGCACAACCATCATTATATCCTCAGGTATGTCGATCTTACTGGCTCCTTTAATAGCGTCTTTTAAAATAAATATGATTTGACAATGAAAGAAACAAATAAAAAAGATTACATTGATTTGGATGGATGTTGTTTCTGTCCTTGTTTCTACTGCCAAAATTATGTTTTTTCAAAATTCAAAACGAAAAACGTAGATGAAAAAAATATTTTAATAGGGCTGAAAATTAATCTAACATATTTATCAAATTTACCATTTAAGATCAAATGAATTCGAGTGTAGAGATCCAGTTGAATTTGTAATTAGGAAAATAGTTGATGAAATAAATATGGCCATGATATATGGACGTAATATTATTGCATGGATATTGGATCCAAACAATCTTTAAGGATAATATAACATTTTTATACATTAATATTTAATAGATAGATATATAATTCTGAAAATTTTAATGATGATTATATTTGACAAATGAACTAAACAAATTATACTTGAAACATGTGTGAATATGCCAGTTCATGGATAACTCCATACACAAATTCGATGCCATTACTACACAAACCATAAACATGCATCCATATCAATTATGGAAAAATAGGAAATTGAAGGAAATTACTAACTACATAAAATAAAAAGAAAACTTACATATATTCCCAAACTGGGTTCAAGGTTCTTCAAAGCAAAAAAAAAAAAAGTTGAAAAATAAAATCTCATGATCTAAATAAAAGAATTAGTAGTTCTTCAGGCACATCATAAAGCATGTAAGGTAGAAGGGTCATAGTTTCGATTATATACATTACAATTAATGAAATGACCTTGGCCTGAGGAAATTAACACATACTTCAGCAATTTACAAAAGATTACTCTACAATGCCATGGAATAAACTTGCAAATACCAAGTTATTCAGGTTCCCGACCTCTTAACTTACTGATTACAGTGGTTCCAAATGGCCCTTTTCGGATATCACGAGCTATTTGTTTTCATAAGTGACATTACTTAGTTTCATATTAGAATTGTTGCCTTTCGCCCTCTACCTGTGCAAACTTGAGGCTTATGTCCAAATATCTCTCTTGCATTTCCTTTAAGTCCTCTTTCATTGATTTATTGACCTCTTTCAGCAATGCCATTTAGTTGTTTAATTCTTCAATGTGTTCTGCAGTTTTCGTGGAACCATAGCTGAAATATCACAAGTGCTTTGGACGTCACATTGGATTATATATATACATATATATATTTATATTTATATTTATTATCATATGCGACTTTAATTATAATGGAATATAAAACGCACCTTTTTTTGTTGGATATCATGCTCGTGATACTTGGATTTTTGTCTCCTTATCCCTAAAAAGTCAGCGAAACAAAAAGAAGTTTTTCCAGCAAGTAGATATTATTAATGCAAACATTTTAGCTGTGGTTAAAAATCACAAAAACTCCAACTATATGAACCTTTCCGACTTCATGACCAATGCTTTGGTAGTATTGTAATCTTTCCTCCAACTCTTCTATTTTGTAATGAAGATCCTTTTTAGTTGTGTAGAAATGTAATTACTGAGTTTTGAAGATCAATTTCCTTTGATTTGACTTGACCTTGTTGAGCACAAAAATGAAAAATTAGCTTCAAGTTCTGCATCAAATATTTGGAAAAAAGGTCTACATGCTAAAATTTTATCTGAAGATGTATCTGATTCCTAAGTTTTTTCCAGTTTTCGTCATTCTCGGAATTAAGTTCTTCAATAGAAAGACTCAATTTTGAACCACCCAAAAAAAAATTCCGGCCACAGATCCAATTCAATTTTGCAGATAATAAAATTGAAACGGCAACAGGAAAATATGGGATGAAAGTTCCAAAAACCTTCCTCAAATCTGGCTATAAGAAAAGGATCACATAAGCAAACAAACTTGAAATAAAAATTGAAAATCTGAAACTAAATTTCATAATTCTTTGCGATTGCATTCGGTAAAGACTCAAAGTTTCTTCACTTCTTGATTTTCTCCTGCTAAAAATATGAATAAAATTTATAAGCCCTTCAAATATGTGATTGGAAACATAAAAGATATCAATCAGATATGTGATTGGAAACATAAAAGATACCAAAATTGAGTAACATTCATAATGCGAAAGAAAAAAAGAAGCATGGTAAAAGATAATAGAAATCATGGTTATGGAGAGGCCAACTTTGTGGCAGATTACTTGGCTTCTTTGGCGGCCAAGGGTCCGGATGGTCTTCAAAAGTTGGCGAGCCCCCCGCCGGGAGCGTTTGGTTACACCATGATAGGGTTGGCGTGTCCTATCCTGATCGGTTCTAGCTTAGGCTCTGCGTAGCCTCCATTTCTTGCACACACACAAAAAAAAAAAGGTAATAGAAATCTAGCTATTACTCTCTCTTTGGTCAACAAAATCGATTATTAAAAAAATCAACCTTTTTAATGTCTTTCCAGTTAGCAAGGATAAAATAGCAAGTTTCATGGCTGCATTGAAGTTAAATTGTTTGTAATTTTCTTCACAGATGTCCAAAAGAAAACAAAACAATAGGAACACAAAAGCTTGGTGGCCATCCATGTATTTCTAACAGCAATAAGTATATCATTCAGTCCCAATCAATCCTTAAGGCTTTTGAAAGCCTAAAGCTATTTTCCTTAATTTTCACTCAAATCAATGAAATAGATAAACAATGTTAAGAAGGAAAATGACATACAACTGCGCATAACCTTGAAGACCAATATTCAGAGCTCTGTCATATAACTTATGGATTAGCCTTTGAGATATGAACTTGGAACCAATCTGGATCATAGAAATAAAAGACCAAAAAATCGATAAACATACAAAAGAAGGGCAAAAGAAGAAAATATTGGCCATGAGAAAATTCAAATAATATTGATGAAATCTCCAAACCATCTAAAGCAATAATGAATCAGATGAAGCAGATGATAGCTTATGGGTGTAGCCATGGTGCTCCACATTGTCGCCCTGAATTTGAGCTCCACTGTCAGCCATCAACGCCGCGTACATGGCCCCGAACTCCTCGGCGTCCACCTGATCATCCCCGTCGGTGTCAAACTTCCCAATCATCGCCCGAAGCTCCTCCTTTGGCACGCGGATCCCAGATTCTCCAGCGATTTGCCGAGCTCCTCCCGGCTAATCTTGATGTCGCCGTTCATCGATCGTGGAGATGTGAGCCCTAATTATCGAGAGATGTGGTTTGGATCTTGATCGTTTCAACCAATAATTCTGGAGAGATTTGAGAGATTTGGTTAATAGATAATCTGATATACCAAGAAAAACATCTTTTCTTTAAATATTAGGATTTGGAAATATTTTTGTGGGATTTTAACTAAAAAAATTTGAGGATAAATATGGATTGATTTTATGAAGGTAATTTAAAGCGCGTGAATGGACAAAATTAATTCCACAATTTTGCCAATTGAAGAGATTTCAATTGCGTGAAAATCTGTGGAATCAATTGCGTGAATATGGATTGCTAATTATTCACTATATAAACAACTACCATTTCGGATTTTAATGGCGTGCTCCCAAAAGAAAATGCCGGATTATAAATATATTCCCCAATTAGTAAGTCATAGTTTTGACTTAATTATTTTAGGTTTCCAAAAAAAAATTTAACATCAATCTTTTTAGATATATATAGATCTCCTTTTATATAAGTATAGATTGTATAATACGGAAATAGTAATGCAATAAATGTTGTTGACTTTTCGTTATACTAAATCTGGTAAATGGTATATCTTTTAATATAAGTATAGATTCAGAGATTTTTTATTGAATGAAAATATCTAGAAAATGTGCTCCATTTTTGCGCAACAAAATGCTTGAGATTTCACACCTACGGGCTGAAACACCACTTGGAATGTTTATTCTATTTGAATGAGTATTTAAGATTTCAAAAGGGTCTGGTGATTTATTTTATTTTGAGGTTTAATGGAAAAAAAATAAAAACAAAATACTAAGTTTTAGTTGTATTAAAAATCTCATTGAATTGAAATTAATNCAGCAAAGGTACGTCTTTTTCTCTCCTTTCTCTTCTTCATCTTTCTTTTCTCTCCTTCATCTTTTTTCTTCCTTTTTTTTTTCCCTGTTCGTAATGAAATCTAAACGTCATTTTATCGCCTTTCTCTTCTTCGTGTTTTTCTTTCCCAGTTTATAATGAAATTTGATTTGTCATTTTCTCGCCTTTATTCTTCAGTCGGCTTCATTTTTTTTTTTCGTGTTCAAATTTGTTTTGTGTTACGGGCTTATCTTAATTGAAAAGATATAAAAACAATAATTATTTTTGATAGATAGATTTTATTCATTCTGGTTTAAATTAATATGCTTCTTGATTTGGTTCTTATATTCATTTGATATGTTACATTTATCTCGTTGCGAATAAATAAACTCGTAGAAAATGATCATTTAATAGTTTCGAATGGAGTAATTCAATTTGATCTCTTTTTAGCAGCTATTAGTTACTAAAAAATTGTAATCAAAACTCGAATGTGCATTCCAGAAATATCAATGTGCTACTAATGAGGCCTTTGTAGCTTTTTTTTTTTTTTCAAAAACAAAAAATAAATTCTTTAATGAAATAATCTAATTATATTTCTCCGTCCGTCCACGATGTTATATCTAGCAAATATTGATTTAAATGTTTTTGTTGTTCTCAGGTTGGTAAAGTTAGTATCATGAAATGGCAGCCAGAAGAGGAACAGAATGTCCAACTTGGTAAAATCTACTGCTTCTTTCGCTTCATTTCCGCTAAAATTTACAAAAAAAATACCCCTACTTATTCAAATAACACACACACACACACACCAAAAAAAAAAATAAATAAATAAATAAACAAACTATTGAGGTAATTTGACTTGTCAAATATTTCTCCTCTCACACAGGAGGCCAAGGTCCAAACTAACCTCAGAGATCCAGCTCAATCTATGTGGAAAACTTTTCACTCTGGACAAGGTAAATAAAACCAACACACAATCTCAGAATTCACTCTTCCTAAACCCAAAATTCTGTTTAACCAAAAAAAGAAACACAGCTAACTTCCTCTGTCCAAAACTCAGGAGCTTATTTCCAACAAGTCCTCCAAAATATGGAAATTACTACAGAAAACTCCAGAGCCCGACCTCTCCATCCTCCTCCAAGACATCCCGGCCGACCACGAAACCATGGAGCTCGTCGCTCGATTCTGCCACGGCTTCGACATTTCCCTATCCACCCAAAACGTCATCAGGGTCGCATGCGTGGCCCATTACCTAGGCATGACCGACACCCACTGCCCCGACAACCTCTTCACCAGGGCCATCTCCTTCTTCCAGCACCACACACTCACTAGCTGGGAAAACTCCATCACGGCCCTCAAATCCGCCGAGCCCGTCCTCCAGCCCGCCCTCCAACTCGGCCTCGTAAACTACTGCGTCGAGTCCCTCATCTCAAAAGCCCTCGAAAACCCGCGCCTTTTAGGTGACCCCGTCAACGACTACTCCTCGCCGTTGACTTCCGAAGACGAAGACGATGACGGCCACCGCGAAGAAATCAGGCGACGACGCACGAGGAGAAAGCTTTTCAGCACCGAAGGTGCTGCTGCTGACCTGACCTCCCTCTCGTTGAGGCTGTATGCGCCGACGCTCCACGCGATGACTCAGCGAAAAGTCCCCCACGAGTACGTCGCCGCGAGCGTCTGCCAGTACGCGAGGACGTGGGTATTCGACGACGACGAGGCGAATGCGCGGAGTCGGGAGATAATCGAGACTCTGGTTTCTCTCCTGCCTGATAACGACGCGTATTCAGTAGTCCCTTGCGATTTCTTGTCCGAAATGCTGAGATTCGCGATCGCGCTCGACGCGAGCGAAGACTGCAGAAACAGTCTCGAAACGAGGATGGGAAAGCAGCTGGCGCGCGCGTCAGTGAAGGACCTCTTGATACCGAGCTTGGGTTACGCGCGGGACGAGAAGTACGACACGGAGTGTGTGCGGAGGATTCTGAAGAATTTCTACTGCGGCTACACAGGGGGCGACGCGTCGCCGCTGGGCTCGGTGTCTGAGCTCGTGGAGGAATTTCTGGCCGAGGTGGCGGGAGACATTGACCTACGGACGGGGACGTTTATGGAGATTGCTGACATGGCGGTGGCGGTGGCTATGGGGGCCCACAGGGGGTCGGACGGGATTTACAGGGCGGTGGACGTGTATCTGGAGAAGCACAGGCACCTGACAGAGACGGAGAGGGAGAAGGTTTGTAGGGTTGTGGAGTGGGGGAGGCTGTCTGCTGAGGCGTGCGAGCACGCGGCGAGGAACGAGAGGCTGCCTGTGAGAGTGGTGGTGCAGGTTTTGTTTGCGGTGCAGTTGAAGCTGAGGGAGGCGATACCGAGGGAGGTGGAGATGGAGAGGATGGGGAGTAAGGTGTCGGAGTTGGAGAGAGAGTGTCGGGTTATGAAGACGGAGATAGAGAGTGGGGGGAATGGGAATGGGAAGAGGAAGAGGATGAGTCTGTGGAGGGATGTGAAGAGGAGATTGGGGTGTGTTGGTAATAGTATGAGTGATTGCAATTGCCATGTCAAGAGGAAGAAGGTGCATCCTAGATAGAAGGGATTGGGTTTAAGATGCATGTCATCAGATTTTATTCTGGTTTTTTTACTTTTGGTTTGTTTTGTTTTGTTTATTCAGTTGTTGCTTTTGGGGAACACTTGTGTTCTCTTGTTAAAGAACCAAATTATCTCGTTTGGTGAGTTTGTTAATGTTATGTTTTGTTTGTTTTAAGTTTGAGAGTTTGGATATCGGATTCTATAGTGATTAGTGATAGACCTGGAATGTTCATTTTTTTTTTTAAATGATGATGTTTGACACGCATTTGAGCAAATATAGTTTTCTCTGGGGATAAGTAGAAGTTTAGTAGCAAATAATTACTTATGAGTGGCAATAAGCAAAGGTATGAGAGCTGTGCATTGAAAGAGAGGATTTACATCAAACATGTTGTATGAATGGCCTGTTAGTTGGAAAAGGTATTGGCCAATGTCAATAAATCAGAATGTTTTGACTAGTAATGGATGCATAAACAAACAAAAATCATTGTTTTAGTGTTAATGAGTTGTGGAAGTTTGCTGGAGAAGATGAGATTTGTTAAACTCTATAATGCAACATAAGTTCTACACAATAAAATTAATGAAATGTGATAAATGTGCAAGTCCAGATTTAGCTTACTAAGAAGGTAGAATGGCAAGCTATATATATACAGGCTTGATGGAATGTAGTGTGAAGATGATGAAGATTGTGTATCGTGGATTTGTGTTTTTGTGAACACCTGCACTAACATGGTTAACACAAGAGATTTGCGCTCGAAAGAGCGTTTAGTTATTTCTTATTGCTCAATGAAATCAAAGATGATTACATAGGCTATTTAAAGAAGAGAAATATTAGACCTATCAAGAAATAAATTCTAATCCTACAGAAAGTAAATATCTATGATCCTAGGAATTACCAAAATAATCAAACACCTATGCTAATTGGAAATAGAATTATAGTAAAAGCTAAACTAGGAATTTTGGCTAGCTTGCTCCTCAAGAATCGTCGGCCTTCGTTCCAGCATTTTCATCCCCTTCAAATAAATCTTTGTCCTTAAGGATAAAAGTCAAAAATTGAATACCCATATCGTGTATGTTTTACCATGTAGCCTCATCTTTCGGCAACTTGTCCCATTCGATCAAAACCTTCAAACAAAATCGACTCACCTTCTTCACTCGACGATAGTCTGACGCTCGAATAGGACGCACAATGAGTTCGTCCTCCGTATCTATTGTCGCTAGCCGCATTCCAACCTTGTGCGTGTCACCCAAGCTCTTTTTCAACTGTGACACATAGATGAACGGATGAATTTGGGACTCGGCCGGCTCAGAATGCTCCTCGCCGAATTTCTCCAATAAGTCTCGTATCTCATGATGATGTGACGGTTACAGCTTGGTCCCTTCAACTCCATCGTTTACGTTGATAGAAAAAAGTTGTCTGATAACATCCTTAAGAACTCCATTGTATATCTCGAGGGATTGTGCAATGTGCGCATTCGCATCCTTGGTCGGGAGTCTCCCAAACTGGTCTTGCAAGACCATTAAATAAGGTCAGGCGTCACTCAATATTGTTGTCAGCGATTCTCAGTCCATGGCTGATGAAGATGTGGTCATCGACCCCTCTGAGCCCGAGGACAAGACATGCTCGCGCCGTGCGAATAGGCGCGCAAAGGGTCGGACCGCGGGGGCTGTGCAAAAGAGGCTCGGGAAGTCTGCGCACGAGGGAATCGTGCGACGCGTAGACACGCGATAGGCGTGGATCGCGTAATGAGGCGCGCGGGAACGGGACGCGCGAGGCAGGGCCGCGCGAGGAACGACACGCGCGAGACAGCACGACGCAAGGATGACGATGAAGGCACGTTGGGAAATTCGCGACGGGTGGCTCGAGTGCGGTTTGACCACGCGAGAGGCGGATGGCGCAAAGGATTCGATCAGCGAAGCCGCGGGCAGGCGAAGGGTGCGAAGGGAAAGCATGCGCGAGAAGCGTCGAAGCACACGCGGGGCGCGGGCGGTGACGCGCGCGACTCGCAGGGGCAAACGAGCGCGAGTCCTCAACGAACTAGGAGTAGCGCCGTCTAGGGTTGGACCGAGCGACTTTGGGCGCAAGCAACTGGACGCGTGCGACGCGTGGGACGCGGGAGAAGGCCGAGACCTCGGAGGACAAGGACTAGCCGACGCGGCTAGGGTTTCGGCGAGGCGTGCGGCGCGAGAAGACCCGTGAAGTTCTAGATGGCCAAGGGCCGATTTCCTTAGCATAATTAGGATTATTAGTATGGTTAGGATTTCGAATAAAAGGCATGTGCTACTTAGATTTGGTAAGTCTTTACTTGTTAGATATTTTGTTACCTTAGGATTTTATTTATTTTCATGCATTAGGACTTCTAATTATTATAGGATTAGATCTAGTTTAGCCTCTATATATATTCCTGCTATTGTCATTCGAGATTAATTATTGAAAAATTAATTAAAAACCGAATATTTGTTTAAATTGTCTCATGAGTTTACTCCTGTGAGTTTACAAGCAAGCTTGTGTTAGAAATAGGACCAACATTCGATTTTCTATCACAAACCACGAAATACGAAGGCGTCGGCGCACGTATTAGCAACCTATCGGCGATTTAAGGCGCGAGTGTGCCGCTTATCTGCAATCGGGACACGCGATCTTCATCAATGGCCTTTTCCGTATACTTAGTTTGACCTCGATTGTAAAATTAGTAATGTTATTAGACTATCTAAAAGTTAGGCAGTCATATTTTTCAACTGATTATATTCTTTCGTATTCAAGTGTCATATTTTTCTAAAACAATATAATAAAAACATGACATTACAATATGTATTTTTTATAAGAAAAATATGATTGTCTTACTATTTTACGGTCAAACAACAAAATTATGCCTAAAAATAGATTATTGACACATTGAAATTGTGTCTAATGGATTATCATGACAAGAATTGATTATTAACACACAATTTCGAATAAAATACTAACAAATTAAATAGTATCAAACTATTTTTAATATAAAATTTTATGAAATAATTAATTATAAAATTAAATATATGTATATCTATAAACCATAATTTTTTTTTTTAAATNTTCTCTTTCTTGGTATCTGCATTTCCATTCTCTGATTGCAATGGCCCCAATGGCTGCCTGATACTGGCAACCCCCGTAAAAGAGAGAGAAAATATACAACGAGGTCAATAGAGAGAGGGAGAAAGAATGAAGGTGAGGTAAAAATTTTGAAAAAAATAAAAATTAAAAAATCTGATCTGATCAGGGTAGATATTAATCATGATTACAGCAAGCAACACCCTTCTCCTTTAAATCGTACTTGCACACGGACCCACACATACATATAGCGAGGGAAAAAATCGAAAATTGGGTAAAAATTGGGGGTCGACACTTGGTCGAGGTGGAGATTGAAAATCAATGGAGGAGGAGAAGGAAGGGGATATTAGGGTTCCGCTGGTCTTCACCGTGTTCTGCCTCAGCGTCACCGCCGGCGGGGTTTTCCTCGTAATCTACGTCTTCTTTCCAGGCTACTCCCAGGCGTGGTACCCAATCGCCGCCCTCGTCCTCATCGCCTCGCCCTGGATCTTTTGGCTCCTCACCTACATCTATGCCTGCATCAAGGGCTGCTTCTGCCGTGACGGAGGAGGTGCCGTCCCACACCAGATTTCAAGGCGGCAGACAACCAGGAACGGCTCATCTGCCACCGCAACCCAACGGGTCGGGTCGTCCAGGGAACCCGAGATGCCCTTGGCATATTCCGCTTAATCAATTATGTTGCTCATTCGTACATTCTTTAGGCCCGATGGGTAATTTATTTGATTTTGTTCTTCTGGCGATTGTTGTTGTTGAGGATGAATTGGCATTGTGATTGTACTATCTGTTAATTTGTTTTTTAGTTGAAAATAAATGTTGTCCCAGGAGGATTTTTTCTAATACATAACATAAGGCGAGTTGATATTGTGATGACTGCATATATTTTCATTTTTTGGATTTGTGTGTTCTGGGTATAATTAATGTTAATAGCTTTAAGTTATAGCTTATGTGAATATGAAAGATTGGGCAAAACTGCAACATCTTTTTGGCTCTCACAGATCATAATTATTGTAATAGAAGGTAGAACAGAGTTAGGTGCGTGAATCAAGTGAAAGAAATAACTACTCTGATTTTTCATATATATATTTACTTATTATTATTATGATCATCATCATCATCATCTCCGAATTAAACTAATTATTAGTAGAAATGTTTTGTAGTTAGGAATTAGTTGTTTGAAACGAAAACAGCGTGCAAGAATTCAAAAAAACAAAAAAAATCCACCAATCCACTCAACAGTTACCCATATATATAAATCTGCTGCGAGAACTACTGCTTCAGAAAAATGAATCAAATGGATTCAGACAGCGGCACCACCAGCAACACGCCCTCCAAAAGGTCACACATATATAATTAATTTCTTTTCCCTTAACCTGTTTCTAATTTTTCTATTTTCCAGATTGGTCGGAAAAGTGGCAGTGGTGACCGGAGGCGCTCGAGGTATCGGCGCAGCCACCGCCCGCGCCCTCGCCGCGAGCGGGGCCCACGTCGTGATCGCGGACGTCCTCGACAAACCCGGGTCTGACCTCGCCGCCTCCATCGACGGCCGCTACTCTCACTGCGACGTCTCCGTCGAGCGCGACGTGGAGCGCGCGGTCCGCATGGCGCTCGACTGGAAAGGCCGGCTGGACATCATGTTCAACAACGCGGGCGTGGCGGGGCCCGACGGCAGCATCACGGCCCTCGAGACCGACCAGCTGGCGTCCCTGCTGGCCGTGAACCTCCACGGGGTCGTGCACGGGATCAAGCACGCCGCGCGGGCCATGATCGAGGGCGAGAACAAAGGGACCATCATATGCACGTCGAGCTCGGCAGCCGTCATGGGTGGGCTGGCGGGCCACGCGTACACGATGTCCAAGGGGGCTATACTGGCCCTGGCGAGGAGCACGGCCTGCGAGCTCGGGGCTTACGGGATACGGGTGAACTGCGTGTCGCCGCACGGGGTGCCCTCGGAGATGCTCGTGGGTGGGTACAGAAGGGTGCTTGGGGATCCGAGTTTGGGGGAGGAGGACGTGAGGAGGATAGTGAGGGAGGGGGGGATGAGTGTTCTGCGTGGGCGGGTGGCGAGCGTGGAGGACGTGGCTCGGGGGGTGCTGTTCCTGGCGAGTGACGACGACTCGGGGTTTGTGACGGGACATAATTTGGTTATAGATGGGGGTTTCACGTCGGCTAACAATCAAATGAGTCTCATGTATCACAATTCACAGCCACGTTAACTAATTAGTTAGTCCCACGGGAATAATTAAAGGAGGATAAAGCGTCTACTGTTTTCTTCAACAATCTCTTATTCAAGTTTTAATCCCAATTTTTTAAACACAAAACACCGTAATTTCATGGGACCTCTGGCCTTTCTTCATCTGCTATGTATCGCACGTATCGGATTTGAAATCCCTTGCCAGTTACCAGTACAATTTCAGTTGTTTACTTGTTTCTAATTCTTTATAATTTGGGGGAGTTATTGGATATATTTATAATTTGTGGGATTTATACTGTTTTTATAACAACAACATAGCCTTTTAATTCCAAGTCTCAAGCAAGTTGGGATTTATAGTATTTTTGAAAGATTATTATTATTTTTTTTTTCAATTTCATTTATTGAAAAATGTTCAATACAACTATACAAGTTTAGAGATATTCGAGCACAGGTTGAATGCTGAATAGCTTCCGTCTTGTGATATCATTTAACATGTTTTATCATTTTATAAACTACATCTACTTGATTATAAACTAACATTCATCATGTGCATATGTATATATATTGATAAAGTGTTACAAGTTATAAATATGTATATTGATGTAGCAACATTAATATCATTACTCGTATTAAATTATGTAAATATCTACGATTATTTATAAAAATATATTAAATATAAATATATACAAGAATTATGCTATGTAAAAGATCTCGGACCAGCGCAGTTCAACTTGGATTGTCTTCCTTGCCGGTTGATTAATATAAGTAAATTGTATTACATATTGATTCCATATTTTTTATTTATAAATATTATTTAATGAACATATTTAATTTTAAAATATTAATGAATATCTACTCGTGCATCGTATGTGATTCGTACTAGTGTGTAAAAATGGGGAGTGGTTTTCTAATGGAGATTTGTTAACAAATCTCAATTTTTTGAGATAATGAAAAATCTCACAATTGATTGAATGAAATCTTCATATATTGTTAATAATTATAGAAAATAATTTAAATTATATATATTTAAAATGGATCAATATTTGTATTAAATAATATAGTTGTAAAAATTATTGTGGATACGCATGAATATTTTGGATTTTGTGTATCCAATAATTTGGTTGTATCAAGATTTGTATCCATTTTTACCAAAATTCAGTTTCTAAGAATTATACAATTATTTGCACGGTAAGTATCTTACATTTTTTTATAAAAAAATAAAAGTCGTCTGGCATTCATATTTTTGAAATGAATTGAAATTAGTTTTGTTTCCTAAAATCGTATAGGGAAATCCAGCCAATCTCAAATCTTGTTTCGAAAAAAGAAAAATAATAAATGAGATTCCTACTAAATTTATATTTTTGAATTGAATTGAAATTAGTTTTGTTCCCTAAAAAATTGAAAAAATTATATGAATAAGTTGCACGTATTTTAAATTAATTTTTATTTGGATTTGATTTCATAAATAATTGACATATTTTTTGTACAAAACAATCTCCAAATTGGTTACCAAAAAAATAGGATTCTTATGGTTTTCATATTTAGAAAACAGTCCCGCTACAGGTACAACATATGTTGACAATTTTGTTTTACAAACTGACGTGGCATTAAAATTTCATTTAAAACTCCTGTGGGCCGTGTCATTAAAGTCCAGAACAGAAGAATTCACATTACACTCCTCACTCCCCAAAAATTCAAATTCAATCGTTAATTCCTAAAGCCCTAAATTGGATCGGTAATAGTGATGGGCGAAATCTTCTCCGTCGCGCTCGCCGCACTAGCAGCCATCTGCGGCGGATGGAGCCTCCGCCGCTCCAACCATGGCCTGGCCTACCGGGAAGCCAGAAGTGACCGTGAGTTGATTGGTAATCTGGAGCAGCCGGAGGCGAAGAACATCAGCGACTCGTGGTGGAGCTCGCTCTGAGGGTCCGGTGCCGGCAGGGAGGCGCGCGGCGCCTGGACAAGGATTCTACCCATCTCTCTTAGAAATGTAAAGGTTGAGAGTCTCATCAATAATGGCCAAAAGGGCCTGGTCTTGGGCGCCCACCAGCTCGAGAACGATCTCGACTATCTTAAAGGCGCTGGCATCGAGCTCTTGTCCGAGGCTGATTCTCCGAAAGATGGCCAGGCTCGGGCCTTCGATTTCTTGTTGGTCCCAATTTTTGGCAAATGTCCCTTGCGGACGGGCTTGTCCGGGACAATGGGTTAGTCGTGTCGTCCCTGGGGCTAGAAACACTGGCGGGCTGCGCCTGTTGAGCAACTACAGGATCGGGTATGAAGAGGAGCGGGCCCGTGAAGAGCCCAATGTGCAAGGCGGTCGGAGGAGACGAGGGAAGCGCTCAAGGGGCAGGATGACATATTCCAAGAGCCGGTGGAGGAGTCGTTGAGTACTTAAGGCAGGCATTTGTGTCGGACGATTTGGGGCAGTGGAGTGGTTCGACGGGAACTACCCGACACATGGTCAAGAATTTGCGGTGTACAATATGGAGGAGATGGAAGTGAGGATGGAGGATTATGTTGTTTCTTGAGTGCAGAACCAATGGGAAAAATGTGGCTAATGTTGATATGTGACTGAGGTTGATATGGGATACCTATAATGTAGATGAGGATGATATGTTTTGGGATATCTGATTGTATACTCGTGGGATGTATATTATGTTTCACACTTTGATGAAATATGATCAAATGTATTGATAGTTAATGGTTGGTACTACATGTTGAGATTTAACATATTTTGCTGCTATATGACACTTATTATGGAATAATTGGGTGTGTTTTTTGAGACCTGAATAGTTGTTGATGAGTGGAAAATAAGTTGAGAATGCTCATATCCTGGGGTTAAAGGGAGCAGAAAGACTTTTAGGCCTAAACTGCAAATTCCACAAGAACAATCCACAGCCCGGAGGGAGCATAAATAAAGCAGAAATAATGTAATTAACTTAACAAGAAATAAGTCACTATCTAGTAGGTACCAACAAAATCAGACACAAAAATTCAAATAATTTCTTCTCAACTTGATGACCAAAAGCCTCATATTATCTAAGTGTCTTCAAACACTCCCATCCCCCATTTGATATGTTGAATACTGGTTGCAATATTGAATCACATTAGTACCTATAAAAAAAACGACATAAGATTANAAAAAAAAAAAGACAAAACAGGAAAAACTAACATAAAGTAGCAGACTTCAGATTGACTTCTTACTTTTGTTTTTATTTCATATATCATTAATGGATAAAAGTTACATCTGTTTCTGAATTATGGTTATCTTAACTTTTTCTAATGAAGTGATTTTAAACAATTAATCAAGAATTAATAACGAAAGTAGACCTTTGGCTCATTTGTTTGCTTGATTAGCTCTTTTGTAAGTCCCTTTCCTCTAGTAATTGAAGGAGCCTGCAAATACATAAAACAATGAAAAGAAAAAGAAGTAATTTTATAGTATTTCATTTAACTATTGTGAATATACATAAAGATACCTCATTCTTCTTCTTTTTCTTATTCGAAGTCGACTCCAACGGACTTTTTTTGCGAACTTTTCTTGGCGCGCCCTTTCTTTTTGTCAACTTCGGATCTCCAACGCCAATGCTACATGGAGTTTTGAAACTAGCAGGATCGTTGCAAATATTTTTTTCACCAATATGTATTAACATAGAAAGTTCTTGTGCTTGCAATTGGGTCCATTCCATAATCATCCCGGCTCGAACTTCATCGTCTGCAGCAAGGTCTGCGACCTTGGCAAAAGCTGTGCACAAATTGTCATACCTCAATTGTCTCGGAGAATTCCTCAATCCGTCATATTTCAAATCAATCCTTGTGTATGGTCTCCTGACATCTCTTCTCCATCTATGTAATATATATTGATGAGGAAGTCTAGAGACGTCATTACGGATAAGGACTGCAATTGAATGTCGACAGAGAATACCCCGAAATTCAAACAGATGACAACTAAAAACAACTTCACATTTTTCCCTATTGAAAGAGACAAAAAATGATTTCTTCTTGCGCAGGTAGCCACAAAATAAATCTTCTAGGACCTCGTAAATTGTCTCAAAACAACCTTCTGAAGAAGAAATGACATCACAGTAAACCTTACCCACAAACTCGGCTTGGATTTCTTTAAATTTGGAAATAGTGTTCACCGTTTGGAATTGCTTTTTTATCTCATATGTTGTTGCACATGGGACTATTTGGCTTAATGATTTAAAATCAGCTTGGACCTCTTTTTCCACTTTATCTCTCAATGCTCTTTCGTATTGTTGAACGAATTGTTTCAATGATGTTTTTGGGTGGACGTACCCATCAAAAAAAGCATTCATGCTTTCACTTTGTTGTGTAGTTGACATTCCAGCCCAGAAAAAAGTTTTTAGGAAGCATGGAACCCAAAGACTACGGTTCTCGTACAATCCCAACAACCATTCATTGTCGCACAACGCATACTTTGTGGTCATTGACTCCCAGCCTTGTTCAAATTCTTCAACCGTTTGACAGTCATACACCAATTCATGTATTGTTGAGAAAATTGAACCTTTATCGACATGATATCCAAACTTTTCAGGCAGTTTTTTTAGAATGTGCCACAAACACCATCTATGTCTCGTATTGGGGAAAACAATCCGAATGGCATTTTGCATTGCTCTGTCTTGATCGGTGATAATTCCTTGAGGAGCTTGACCGTGCATACACTTAAGCCATGTCTGAAAAAGCCAAACGAAGGTATCCGTATTTTCATTCGAGATCAACCCGCAACCTAGAAGTGTTGATTGTCCGTGATGATTAACACCAACAAATGGTGCAAAAGGCATGTCATATTTTTTTGTTAAGTAGGTTGTATCAAATGTGCCGACGTCCCCGAATTCTTTATATGCTTCTCTACTTCGATTATCTGCCCAAAAAATATTCCGTAATCGGGAATCATCATCCAGATCCATGCAGAAGAAAAATCTAACACACCTTGCTTGCATATCTGAAAAATATGATATTATTGTTGCTGTGTCCCCCTCTCCCAGGCTTAACCGTCTAAATTTTTCGATATAGTTACGACAATCTTTCTCGACAAATGTCATATTATCGTATCCACCCGCTTCAACTACAGCAGAATTGAAGCTTTTATGCAATGGAATTCCGGCCACGTCATTCACTTCAAGTCTTCGCTTTACACTTGCACTCAATTCTCTATGGCATCGATATAATCTCGACTTAGTTGGACTGCATTTGTGATTATGGTCGAGGTAACCTTTGTTAATTCTCCAATAACCATGATCATCTAAAGATGCCGAGATTCGAGCTTTGCAGTCTGTCTGAGTTGTTGGTTGCGACCTCAATGAGCCTCTTGTGCCACTCATTCTTTTTCCTTCACGACTACATGTTAAAGTAACATATCGTAAAATGCCATCATCATCCTTTTCTCGAATTTCTTTTTCTCACTGCAAAACCGACACTGTAAGCATATTTTTTGTAGAAATCAAAGACGTTGTCTATATCTTTGAATTCCATACCAGCCTCCGAGGCACCTATATTCGTACTACAATATGTATTAACATTTTCAATCTCGAGCAACGGTTCATTCTCACCTACTTTCATTACGATAGCTGAAGATGTCGTCTCCTGGTCTCGATTAGGGATGATGGGGACTGACGGGTTAATTTCGAGCAACGGTTCATTCTCACCTCCTTCCATTACGATAGCTGAAGATGTCGTCTCGTGGTCTCGATTAGGGATGATGGGGACGGACGGGTTAAATTTGAAGATGGCTGCTCCCACGATGTCTTCTGGCTTTTTGGTCGAATAGGGATTTTTTGACAGAAGGCTGAGATACGATTTAGTTTCTAGAATTTTGGGGCTGAAGAGTTTTATTTTTATTTTCTTTATTATGTAAAATAAAATAATAGAAAAGAAAATAAAGGTGTGTGTCCCACTTAGAAAGCCACATCAGTTTGTAAATGAAAGTTGTAAGAAAAGGTTGTACGTCCAGCTTTTCTCTTTAGAAAAATCCGACCAATTTGTATTTGTTTCCTAAATAGTGGTAAAGAAAATCCGACGAAATCCGGCCAATCTCAAATCTTAGGATTCCTATGACATTCATATTTTGAAATGAAAAAGAAATCTGGCCAATCTTAAATTTTCGTCACAAAAAAAGGGATCCAAATTTTAGCAAAAAATTAAAATTATATGAAAAAGTTGTGCGGATTTTAAATTAATTTGCAATGAGTTTCATATCTAAGAAAATCTAACCAATTTGTATTTGTTTCATAAATATTTGAAAAGAAAGTCCGTCCAAATTGTCTAAGAAAAGGATTAAATTTCATTCTTAAATATTCACATATGTTTTTCGAAATTATTATTAATAGTAAGTCAAATCTTTTATTTATTTATTTTTTGTCAAACTTACTATAAGGATATTTTATTACAGTTTTTCTATGAAGCCAACAGTTGGCTCCGTAGTGGAGCCAAGCTTCTATATACAACAAGTAAACAATACCTTATTTAAGTAACCAAAGAATATCGAATGGTTTACTTGTTGTATATAGAAGGTTGGCTCCACTATGGAGCCAACTATTTGTTTCATAGCAAAATTGTATTTTTCTAACATCCTTTTGATAGATTATAGATAGATTCTCACGCACAGTCGTGTAAATACATATTGATCAAACTGTTTAAAAACTTCTTGTGTTTAAAAACTTCTTGTGAGCAGTACGCAACACATTGGGACAAAATTTACAATTCTTTGTATACTTGTAGCATTTTCCTATATGAGAAATGTTATAGGTACATAACACTCACATTGAGTGTGACCGATCAAAAATAAAAAATCAAATGGACCCCATTTCACTCCATATGAATGAGATGTACACCTATATATATATATATATACATTTATTATGTACTTATAGCATTTTCTTTACTTTTTAGTCCCTGACTCCTGTTCTCCTTCGATTTCATGCGCCTTTCCTAATCAGCCGACGGCGGCTTGAAAATTAATTGTGGATGTTGTCAGCGAATGCGTCAGAGGGTAAGATAGAGAGGGGGACTCGTTTGGCCCTAAACAATGTTGAAAAATGAATGTGAAAAAAGACAATATTGAGCCCCACAGGAAAAAGAATAAAGAAAAGTCATGACTTTTGGATTTATATATTCCTTGTTCACAAGCAGATTTATCAGGTTATTGCAAAATGGCCCAAGAACTGAAGCTGTTCAGGACATGGTCAAGTCCGTATGCTTTGAGAGTTGTACACGCGCTCAAGATCAAAGGCTTAGAATACGAAACAGTGTTTGAGGATCTGACAAACAAGAGTGCTTCACTCCTAGAGTACAACCCCGTACACGAGAAAGTACCTGTTCTTGTGCACAATGGAAAACCAATTTGTGAGTCGCTTGTGATTCTTGAATATGTTGATGAGGTGTGGAAGCAGTTCCCTCTCCTCCCCCGAGATCCTTATGACAGAGCCATGGCTCGGTTTTGGGCAAAATTCGGTGAAGATAAGGTACATACAATCATTTCATCTCGAATTTTATTTTCATTTTGATTACTGTTCCAAGTCAACGATTGATTAGTCATGATTGATTTCACTTGCAATTCTTGTTTAAGAAATGTTAATAATTTTGAGGAATGTCCACAATGCTTTATACTAATAAAAAGAAGATGAAAAAGAAAATTCCTCCATATTTTAACAGATTGGATTTGCATACGCCAATTCATATTTTCAGTTCCATTTTTTGCATAATTTGATGCAAATCTGTATTTGTAATTCTACTTCTCATAATTACATACATGGAAAAATATTTTCATAATCACTTCATTCGAAGTTCTGTCCCTGGAAAGCAGGTTCTACTATCAATATGGGGTGTTTTCATCTCTAAAAGAAAAGGACTAGATGAAGCAATAGGTCAAGCCATTGAGAACCTGAAATTCTTGGAAAATCAGCTCAAGGGGAAGAAATTCTTTGGGGGGCAGACGATTGGTTATCTGGATATTGCCCTCGGTTGGATGGCCAATTTAATCAGCATCTTGGAAGAAATAGCCGACCTGAAATTAGTAGATCCAGAGATATTTCCACTTTTATCGGCATGGATGATTGACTTTGCGGATTATCCACTCATAAAAGAATGCTGGCCACCTCGTGACAAGATGGTCGAGAAATTCAAAGCCATGCGCGAGCCATATCTCGAGAAATCTGAGTGAAGAAAAACACATTTAATAATTTCATTCTCTACGTCTTTCTTTTTCTTGTATTCCAAGTAATGATATAGAAAATAAACATTCGAGATGACGAGGCTTGACAAGTTTCTAGTTTTGTTGGTTCAAGCATCTTCTTTTATGATTGTGGAATTTTATCTGTAGTAAAGATGGGATAGTGAGTTTGTTTATGAATTTTGCATCTATCATCTGTGACAAATTCAGAAAGGCGAAGTTGGGCAAAAATTGTATATTGTTTAAGCTCAAATGAGGTGTTTTATGTGACTACAGAATAGTTATCCAGAGTCTTATAGCACAAGGACTATTATCTGATATTTGTGTTTAGGAAAATGTTACCTCCGGTGCAGGGGCCCCAAATGCCTGGCCAAATTCTTATGTGAGTTATTATATGTGGACGACTGTGAGACACAATCTTAGACTCTTGGTGCCGGTTTCAAGTTATGACCTGCACCAAAAGATTAGCTAAACTGGTTCAGTTTTCTAAAACAAAGACTTCTGTAATGTTGAAGGCTAAAGGGAAACAGAAATAAACTAACTTAAAACAAATGAATGCCACAGTTCATAAATGGAGATTCTTAAACTCATCTGAGTAACCAACAAAGCTACTAGCTCAGAAATGATTAATCAATTCAATAATAAAATTGCAAGAAAAAATATCACCTAACAAAGTTAATAAGAGATGAAACGCAGTCTGACCGACCCTATACGATGTTTTGGTTTCGTCGTGATTTTACAAATCAAAATCAGTAAATCACTTTTCTGATTTCATTATGTCCTAGTGATTATTTAGGACCTATTATGGATTAGATGTGGCAAAAGGGAATCCACACAGCTACATATTCCATCCTTAAATAGATAAATAATCCAAATATATTACTAGCATTTCTCTATGCATAAATTTCGAATAATTATTTTGGGACTAACCTGAAGGTTCTTAGTTACCACCAGATGAGCACCGGGTTTCATATGCAATAAGCAGAAAGCTATGGCAAGCCTCTCACGATTCTGGCAAAGCATGTCTGACATCTTAATCTTCGTCAACATCATGCAACATACATTAGCAGACAGCAGTATATTCATCCTCGGTCATCAAACCAGGTAGCAAATCCAAATAAACCAACTTCTTTGTTCTTTAAATAAAATATCTCTTGCTCCGAAAATGGTACACCTAATTTTCTATCTACAGCCAACTACACCCGGGGTCTTTCTTCAGTCCTTTAGCTTCTAAAGATGTTCTTATCTTCCTTGCCTGATCCCATTTTCCCAAGGCAGCAAACACATTTGAGGCCAAAACATGATACCCCGGATCATCCGAATTTAGCTCAAGAACACGTCTTGATACACGTTCCACAATTTCCGTATCTCCACTTGCTCGGCAAGCGCTAAGTAGGACACCCCATATACTTACGTCGGGCTTCAAAGGCATGGAGAGAATAAATTGCTCAGCTTCTGTTAAAAGACCTGAACGTGAAAGAAGATCAACCATGCAAGCATAATGTTCAAGCCTCGGCACAATATTGTAGTCTTTCTCCATTTGCTCGAAGCAAGCCCAGCATTCTTGCACCAAGCCCGAGTGACTGCATGCGTACATGACAGCAATAAAGATAATGTGATCAGGAATAATACCGGCCTTCTTCATATTCTCAAAAGCATCAAGAGCTTTTCTTCCTTCACCATACATCCCATATGCAGATATAATTGCTGTCCATGAAACCAAGTCCTTTTCTTTCATTTGCTCAAATACCAATATTGAGCTCCTTAAACTGCCAGTTTTTGAGTACATTTCAACCAAAGCGTTCCCAATTGGAATATTTGACTCAAAACCCAATTTTAATATGCATCCGTGCATTTCCTTCCCTTGACGTTCGGCAATGAGAAAGGAACACAAAGGCAGCGCACTTAAGAATGTAGGGACATCTGGCATTATCCCCTCCATTTTCATCCTGCTAAGCATTCTCAAACCAAGACTGCAATTCTCAGTTTGACCACAAGAACCAATTATAGAGTTCCATGTCACTGTATCTCGATTTTTCATGTTCTCAAATAGCTTTAGTGAATTTTCTATTTTTCCGCACTTGGCATATGCATCCAAAAGTGCATTGCCGACAATTTGAGTGGAATCAAAACCTTGCTTTATAACATCACAGTGTAGTTCCTGTGTTAATTTTTTTACAGGTAGCACCGCACAAATAGAAAGAAGTGTCACGTATGTCACAAAATCAGGTTGAACAGTTATTCTCATCCTTATAAAGAGATCCAGGGCTTCACGATAGAAACAGTTTTCAGTATATCCAGTAAGAAGTGAGTTATAAGACACCAAATCCTGGCTGGTCATGCTCTCAAACACTTCCCTAGCACGTAACACATCACCACATTTTGCATACATGTTAATGATTATATTATTAGCCATAATATCATACCCATATCCATTGCTAACCAAGTATTCATGGACAATTGTTCCCAACTTCAAGTTTCGAATGTATGTACAAGCACGGAGAACGGATGTGATCGTCAAAATATCCGGTTTAAACATACTAACCATTTCCAAAAAGAAATTAATGGACTCTTCATATAAGCCGGATTCATAATATCCACAAATCATGGTATTCCAAGTAACACTATCTCTAAGAACCATCTCGTTAAAAACCTTCCAACAATCATGTAACATCTCGAACTTAAAATACATTGAGAGCAATGCATTATCTAGAGTCACATATCCACATGTTCCAACTTTCTTAGCCAAACCATGAACTATCTGGCCTTTTTTCACATCTTCCAGACCACCACAAGAGAGCAAAACACTCGAAAGCGAAAAAGAATCAGGGACCAAACCATCCATCCTCAGCCAAGAATAAATATCCAATGCCTCCTTGAAGAATCCGTTGGAAGTGTACCCAGAAATCAAACTATTCCACGAAACAATATCTCTTTGAGGCATCCTATCAAACACTTCTCGAGCACGCTGCAAATCATTGCATCGCGAGTACATATCTATCAAAGAATTGTTTATATACAGATCTAATTCGAAACCCAATTCCACAACATGCTCATGAACCACTTTCCCTTTCTCATAATCCTTCAAACTCCCACAAGCATTGATAACAGAAGGAAATGTGTAATTGTCGGGCATCACGGCCAATTTTCTCATTCCCTTGTAGAATTCAATTGCCTTTGTGTTTAGCCCATTGTGAGTCATTGCCCTAATGATCGTGTTCCACAAGTAGGGGCTGTCTGTTCGCGAATTTTCTCGAAAAACCAGCAAAGAAGAATTCGGATCTGTCAGCTGGGCGTATTTGGAGATTAATTTTCCCGAGAAAAACAGGGACTTGTGTAAGCCGTAGGTGATGATGAGGCAGTGAAGTTTTTGAAGATCTTTTTTGTTGGCTGATGAAGACAATGCTTTCGAAAGTATGGTATAAACGTCCCTGCTTCTACAAGCTTTCATTTGCTAGGAGTCGAGCTTCGAGTTTCGAGTCTTCCACTGACTGCTTCACAATTCTTTTACTATACTAGTAAAGTGCACGTGCGATGCACACGAATGCTTTTTACCAGTTAAATTTAGTAAGATAAATTAATTAATTTATTACACATATGACTGTAGGAAAAAAATAAAATGTAGAATAAATAAACTTTTCATGCATTTTATTTTAAATATAAAAATGTTGTCGTAATATAAAAAGATTTAAATATCATATTACAACTCCAACAAAAATATATGAAAAATGAGTTCCTAATGAAAAAACAATAAATGACTAAATAAAGACATAATGTAGTATTATAGATGCATGAGTTCTTTTATTTATTTATGTTAGATTCAAGAGTCATTTTCTTTTATTTTGGTTTTGATGTTCTCATAAGAAACATTCATACTCGTTGAATTCTAATACACCAATAGTATTACAAAATTCTTCTTAATTAATTTTGCAAAACGTCTGTTTTATTCAACACTTAGAAATACTTTAGCCAAATATATAGTCAAACTTTATAATAGTATGATCATTATAAGGTATTTCTACTAATAGTTCATAAGTATCTCTGTGAAATAAACAATTGTATCATTAAATTTCTTGATATTTGTGTCATTAAAATTCTTGATATTTCTTTTAATCAATGTATAAACTACTACATTTCTCTCTCTCTCTCTCTCTCCCCACATAGACAAATTAGTACTTACCGCATGAGGTGGGAACGAATTTCATCTCTAAATAAAATTTGATTTTCCAAAATCATATACTTCTATGAAGATGCTAAATTATTTTTTTGAAATCATCACACATTACATGAAAATATGTACTCTAGACCAAATGCGCGTATGATCGAGCACAATACACAATTATGATTGTAAATTCTTATCAAAAAGTGACAACTTATTCAACATTCAAAAATATTTTAATCAGTATTAAACATTCCCTTTTCAGTGTCATTAATTTGGAAGATATACCTTCCATATTCTTTCAGATTTGCAATATTTATGTGTCTAATAACATTTATTGCGTTTATTGTCCAATCTTTTGTATCATAACTAATTTTTAAAAAATTCAAGATAACGATCCTTCATTGATTCTTCAATAATAACAAAACAATGAGACCATATTTAGATGAGAAGAATTTGAATTATACTATATTATGATACTCTTAGTCATTTGTTAACTTTATTATTATGAGTCATTATTAAAGTTTGTGGTCTATTTTATGATAATATCGAATCATTATTTATGAGAACTAATTTCTTATAGAGAATATATACTTAAATGCTAGCAACAAAAAAAAGTAGTAATTTTAAAAGATTTTTGTTTCTTGATATTAGTATTCATACTTTTCTAAAAAAATTCAGAATTTTTCTTTTCCTCATTGCATTACTATTGGTTTACTTGTATTTTATTTGTTTTACTTTATTCACAAATAATATTTTATTTCTTGAAAGAATTAGAGAATATTATATGCAATGCATTCTTTTTACGTGTTTGATAGTAATAATATACTTG